AGCACGTCAAACACCTTGAGGAAGTTTTGCAGGTCCTCAAGGAGGCACAACTTCACCTCAACTTAGAGAAATATGAGTTTGGAAGGGACAACGTCATTTATCTTGGGCACCGGTTGTCTGCAAACGACCTTGAGCCTGAGGCAACCAAGGTTGAGGTCATACGAAAGTGGCCTTAACCGGCGAACGTACTCGAACTGCGTTCTTTTCTTGGTTTAGCCTCGTATTACCGGAAGTTTGTGCTCAAATTTTCTATCATTGCTCACCCACTCTCGAGATTAACAAGCAAAAATGTTGCCTATGCATGGTGTGAGAAATGTGAGACTGCGTCGTAAGCCTTGAAAGAGGCTTTGGTAAGTCATCCTGTGCTCCGCATTGCGGATCACAACCTCACGTTCGTGGTCACTACAGACGCGAGCCAGTATGGGATTGGTGCAGTGCTGCAACAAGACGATGAATTCTATTTGTCTTATGGTTGTTATCGTGTCGCCATAAGGCACAACGAACACATACTAATGGACTTGCGACCACGAAGTGGGAGATTGGAACTATTCTCCTCACAAAACAAAGTGTGATTGGTTTATGGAGTTTGCACCTATTTGTGTGTATTTGGTCATTAGTTTTGGCCTGCGTCTGCTCGAATATTACAGCAAACGCATATCCAGCCACAAGGTAGCTACCTCCACGTATATGCGTGATCTATATGCCTTGCGAGAAGCACTCACACATTGGAAGCACTACCTCTTGGGTCATCACTTCAAGGTCTACTCAGATCATCAACCCTTGCAGTGGATTAAAACACAAACTGATCTCTTTTCGACGCCGACCCGCTGGTTGCATGACATTGATGTGTACAATTTTGAACTGAAGCTTTAAGAATGGTTATTATAATCGTGTTGCTGATGCTTTGTCGCGTCATCCTGAGTTTTTGACTTGCCTTGTGATCTCGTATGACCTCCGAAGGAAAGTGAAGGAGGATCTGGTCGAACACACTGCCAAGGATCCGGACCTTAGCCCCATCCTTGAGCAGCTCAAGGCTGGCCCTAGCAATCAGCCTGATTTTCATGAATGTGAGGGTCTTGTATTCCGCCGGTATGAGAAGTTTGATCGTTTGTGTATACCCAACCGTGCGCTTCTCCGGACTCATTTCTTGGATTTGGCACATGGTTGGAGTGGACACTTAGGCTTTGAGAAGACTTATGGAAGTCTTTTGCAGCAGTTTGATTGGCGGGAATGAAGAGATCTGCTCAAAAATTTATTGCTGAATGTTAAGTCTGTCAAAGAACCAAGGNGGAAGTCTTTTGCAGCAGTTTGATTGGCGGGAATGAAGAGATCTGCTCAAAAATTTATTGCTGAATGTTAAGTCTGTCAAAGAACCAAGGTCCATAGGCATAAGCCTCTTATGGCCTGCTGAAACCCCTCCCCATCCCTGATGGACCCGGTGAGTCGGTTTCTATCGCTTTCAGGGACATGGGGAAGGTGAGCGAGGGAGGACATTCACGAGTCATGGTCATTGTGGATCGTTTTTCAAATTTCTGAATTTGATTCCTCTATCCCCTCATGCACCAACTGAACTTGTGATCGAAGAATTTCACCAGCAGTACATTCTGCAATATGGACCCCCGAAAACTCTTGTGAGTGATCGGGACACTAGATTCATTAGTAAAGATTGGAAGGACTTCACTTCTCAGATCTACGACATTAAACTCAATAAGACTTCTGGTCGACACCCCGAAGCCAATGGATTGGCAGAGGAAATCAACCAGACTGTCATTCAACTACTTCGCTCGTTAATTGTTCCAGATCAGAACACGTGGGACAACGAGTTACACAAAGTGAACGGGTTGTACAACAACTCCATTCACTCCGCAACTGGCATGACATTGAATCAGCTGCAATACGGATGGCAGTTGCGCAATCCTCTCTCCTATCTGTTCCCCGAACAGTCACCTGGTCTGACGCCCGGGATGCCTGGCTACAATGCCAAGTATGCGCACTTGCTCAAAGCCGCTATCGCAGCAATGAACAAGCGTCAGCATGCCATGATTAAACATGCTAACAAGTTGCGCAAAGAAGGGAACTTCGAAGTAGGAAGTTATGTCTGGGTCAAAATGTCTGAGTTTTTTGACGAAGAGGGCGTATCACGAATGCTTCTTCCACTGTACTATGGCCCTTGGCAGGTTCTAAAGGTGGTTGGGGATGATTTTGGTCCTTCGTATGTGATTGACCTGCCTCCTCATCTGCGCACATATCCGGTCTTTCACGCGTCCAAACTGTTTCCACACATCGATGATGAGACTTTTCCCTTCCGAGATCCTATGATACCTCGTGCTATCAACGACGGCCATGAGATAAACATAATCGTTTCCCATGAAGGAAGAGGGAGGAACAGACAGTACAAGGTTCACTTCCTCTATCACCCGTTGAATGAGTTCTCCTGGATCGACCGAAAAGAGCTGCTAAAGAATGTTCCCTTTGTTGTTAACGCTTATGAACGACAGATCGCTGATGGCCAGACTGCTAAGTTTTCTGCGAAACTCACTCCTCACGGTTATACTAAATCTCTCTTTCTGATCTACGCCTACGACGCATTTTGTGCCGACTCTGAACGAGTTACTCGCTCGAAGGGACCTCGCTCTTGAGAGGGGGGTAGTGTAATGACCCGCCAAAACACAGACTGAGAACTGCTGATTTCTGGGATTTGCCGCTGGAATGAATGCCTTGCTGAGATTCCCGCATTCTGCTGTGGTTTCCAAGTCTGTGTGTGTGTGCGTGCCTGCTGGTTTGTGTGCCTGTCTGAGTGCTTGTCGTCTGAGTGTATGTGTGACCTGCAAGGGTACTTGTTGGTTGAAAGGCCCCGCAGGGCAGGTACTTACCTGTGGCCGTGACTTTGAGGGTTGCAGCGGGGAAAACACTCCAGTAGCGGGGGTAGGCCCGCGAGACTTAGAGCACCGGGGAGAAACACTCAAGTAGCAGGTAGGCCGGTACCGCTTAAGTAGTGGTAGAAGTGTCGGGTGCTGGAGGCCGAGCAGAAGAAGACAAAAAGTAAGTGCCTTTGGAGGCCGTGTGAATTTTAGGAGTCCGGTAGGGACAGGTCCAAGTCTGTCTCTTATACACATCTAGATGTGTATAAGAGACAGCAGCTCCTCCTCATTTGCGGTATGCAAGGATTGGCAACATGCTGCTGGAACCAAAGCGCTGGACTTGGGCAGCGCTGCCTGGAGTTGATGAGCAGCTGGGCGCTCAACCTGGCTATGGCGAGCAGCCCAGCCTGAGGCGGAGGAAGAAGGGGGCGAAGGAGGAGAGTGGCGAGGTACCTACCTGGCTATGGTGGACACCATCTTCATCACCTTGTTGGGCGCTGCATCTGGAAGGCCCTAGTGGGGGTAGTGCCACACCAAGGAAGCTTGAGGAAGAGTCAGGCATGTCGGCTTAGTCAGCAGCGGCATAGCTGCTTTTGGTTGTCCTTTGGACAGGAGTGCAGCGACATAGCTGCTTTGTGTTGTCCTTTGCACAGGAGGGCAGAGCCGTCAGTAGTCCGCCATAGCCTAGGCATGTGAGAGGTGGAAGAAGGGGGGAAGCCATAGCTATGGTGGACCTATGGTGATGTCAGCAGTAAGAGAGAGAGAAGGGATTTGTCATTGGTCTTGCTGGTGTACATCTTCTTCTTCTTCTTCTTCTTCTTCTTCTTCTTCTTCTTCTTCTTCTTCTTCTTCTTCTTCTTCTTCTTCTTCTTCTTCTCCTCTCTCTCTTCTTTGGTCTCTATCTCTTTGCAAGTGCTTTCATTTCTTTTGCAATTGGGTGGTATTGTCTTTCATTGTGAATTTGCACTTTGGGAATGACCAGGATCGTAACATGTCTGTTCGGTTGTCAAGTGTGCTTGTGCCTATTTTAGCTGAAGGGCAGATAGTGTGCTGAAAAGGGAGGACAAGAAGTTTGGAGGAGGTCTCCTGTCCTTAGACTTTTTTTTCTTTTTTTTTTGAAGGTGATTTTATTTTTCAGAAAAGGACTTCAGGAAAGTTTATTAAAATTTGGAATACCTGTTTGTCTCAATAAGTCTTGTCTCCTCCTTCCAACGCCTGTCGTCCTCCCCTGGATAGAGCGTATGGTCTTTTCAGCTGTACTTGGGGCAACTTTCAGTCCAGGTACAGCAATAATTACCTAGACCATCTCCAGCCTGCACAAGCTTTAAAAAAAGAAAAAAAGAAAAAAAAAAAACCTTACGTTATATTCGGGTGATGTCAGTACCCTTTTTTCATATCCTGATTTGGTCTCTGAAAAATAAGATACCCCTGTTGCGTTAGGCGGGTGGGCAATGTCAAAATTGGAGAGATCAGGTCGTCAGCGCACACATGTGGGTGAATCGTACATGTATGCAATTGCTGATGAACAGATCATGAGCTCAAATGCTGACGCAATCGGATGGATACAATAATGGCAGGGGCTACGCCATTTCTCCCCCTCCCCCCAAAAAAAAACAGGAAAAACAAAGGATAAAGGAGGTCATTAGGAGGTTTGAATCTGTCGTGTTTAAACTTTCTAAAATTAAACAGATCATTAAAGTTGTTGCTTTTCCGAATGGCACACTGACGTTCTAAAATTACCTCGGTAGGAGGCTCTTTGATGGTTAATATCCGGTTTGATGGAAAACACGATAGTCAGTGCATTTTGTCTTAAAAAAAAAAAAAAAAAAAGCCATGATAGCCACCCACTGATTTTCCATCTTTGATGCCAAATGCAATAAGCAAGACAGTCTCTTATCAGCATTTGATATCTTTCCTTTTTCTTCTCTCCTCTCCTCTCCTCTCCTCTCCGCTCCTCTCCCTCTCCTCTCCCCTCTTGACTCATTTTGTTCCATTTCGTTTTTTGTCTTTCCTTCGTTGGTTCGCAATCGAATCGAAGTGAATCGAATTGTATTTGATTCTACAGGCATGTATTTGCATGAATGAATTCGTGGGGCTGAAACGGCGATGGCGTGGATTGTGTGTTTATGGGGACGACAGGAAGATGACCGTGCAGCTTCCGTGGGGCTTGTATGATATCCATCAGTGGTACTACCCGTTGGCAGTGTTCTGCTTCGCAGCGATGAGTAACGGGGTCAATCTTACAGACGGCCTGGATGGCCTGGCGGCTGGGACAACAGCGGCTGCATTTGTTGGCATGGCCATCGCCTGCCTCCCTGTTTATCCAGGTCAGAAGATCCTGACCGTCTCTGTCTCTTGCCACTCATCATCTGTCTGTCTATGTGGTCTGTACTATGTACTCTCAGTCTGTCGTGTGTGTACTATGTACTGCTATGTACTCTCCGTTTGTCGCGTGTGTACTGTATACTCTGCACTCATTTATGTCTATGTAGTATGTACTACAGTATGTGTTATGTACTACGCCTATCGACTATGTACTGTGTAATGTACTACAGTATGTGTTATGTATTACGCCTATCGAGTATGTACTGTGTGCTATGTACCCATCCACTAGTGTATGTCCTGTCTATGTGGTCTGGACTTTGTACTCTCAGTCTGTCGAGTATGCACTGTGTACTAGTAGTACTACTATGTACTCAGTCTGTCGAGTATGCACTGTGTACTAGTAGTACTACTATGTACTCTCAGTCTGTCGCGTATGTACTGACAGTGTACTATGTACTATGCACTCATTTATGTCTATGTAGTATGTACTATATTATGTATTGTGCACTACGCCTATCGAGTATGTACTATGTGCTATGAACCCATCCACTTGTCTATATGTGTAGTAAGTACTATCAAGTAGGTACTGTGTTGT